AAAGAATGAATGGAAGGTGATATAAAAAATATTTCACGCACTGTTTATACACAGTAATGAACAAACATTCTCGCAAAAATAAACTACTCGACGTTTAGATGGGGACATTAACTTCTTACCTTAGCCTGGGTTAGTGTTTCCAGTATCTGCAAAAAGTTGAAATCCATTCTGTTTCTGTCTCAAACAACACACCATGAATGATTTAATGCAGGAGTCTCTTTCGGCTCTTTGCTATGACTCCTTTGGGCATGGTTTAGGTTTATTTCCTGTTTTATTTTGTAGTTTGTTAAATCCCTGTGTTTTTGCTCGACCTTTATTTGAATTACTTTTTTATTAAATCCATTATTTTGCAGTTTTGCATTTTAGGTCACCTTGTTTTTCACCCACATGACCGTGTGATGAATCCCCAGTGCTTTGAGGTGAAGCTGATACGTCTAAAAATATATTTTCATTTTGCCGTGTGATTGCCACGTGAGTAACAGGAGGTCACAGACTTGGATATTGCTTTGGCTCAGTGCAACAGTCAGAAAGAGATAATAAAAATAAGAATAAAAAACACTTCTAAAGAATAAATTTAAATTTAAAATAGAGTTACAGTTACTATTTACAATATACCAGTGCACATGGTGCACACAATGTAAGGTGACAGCAGTACAGTGAAGTAAAGTGACGTATGATGGGCAGTAAAGTGACTTTATAAAGGGCGGGGGGACAGGTTAAGAAGTGTTCAAAAGTCCAACAGCAGAGGGGAAGAAACTGTTCTTGTGGCGGGAGGTTCTAGTCCTGATGGACCGCAGCCTCCTGCCTGAGGGGAGTGGTTGGAATAGTCCATGTGCAGGGTGAGAGGGGTCGGCTGTGATACGACCAGCCCGGCCTCGAGCTCGGGCGACGTATAGGTCCTGCAGCGATGGAAGGCATCGCTGCAGGAAGTACATCCTCTGCTGGGCCTTCTTGATGAGGGAGCTGATGGTCGGCTCCCACTTGAGGTCCTGGGTGATGGTGGTGCCCAGGAAACGGAAGGACTCCACAGAGGTGATGGGGGAGTCCATCACGGAAGGTGGGGGCGGGGGGACAGTGCTCTTCCTGAAGTCCACAATCATCTCCACTGTCTTCTGGGCGTTCAGCTCCAGGTTGTTACCACTGCACCAGGACACCAGCCGGTCCACCTCCCTCCTGTAGGCGGACTCATCATAGTTGGAGATGAGTCCAATGAGGGTGGTGTCGTCCGCGAACTTGATCAGCTTCACGGAGTCGTGGCTGGAGGTGCAGTGGTTGGTGTACAGGGAGAAGAGCAGGGGAGAAAGAACACAGCCCTGTGGGGCTCCTGTATTTATAATCCGAGAGTCCGAGACATTCTTCCCCAGACGCACTCGCTGCTTCCTGTCCGTCAGGAAGTCAGTGATCCACCTGCAGGTGGAATCGGGCACGTTGAGCTGGGAGAGCTTGTCCTGGAGCAGGGATGGCAGGATTGTGTTGAAGGCAGAGCTGAAGTCCACGAACAGGACCCTGGCATAGGTCCCCGGGGAGTCCAGGTGCTGTAGGATGTGGTGGAGGGCCAGGTTAATGGCGTCGTCTACAGATCTGTTGGCTCTGTAGGCGAACTGCAGGGGGTCCAGGAGGGGGGAGGTGAAGGACTTGAGATGGGAGAGAACCAGGCGTTCAAATGACTTCATGACGACAGATGTAAGTGCTACAGGTCTGTAGTCGTTGAGTCCTGTGATCCTGGGCTTCTTCGGGACGGGGACAATGATGGAGGATTTGAAGCAGGCCGGGACATGGCAGGACTGCAGAGAGGTGTTGAAAATGTCAGTGAACACAGGAGTAAGCTCACTGGCACAGTGTCTCAGAGTGGCCGGAGACACGTGGTCCGGGCCAGGAGCTTTGCGGGGGTGCAGCCTCAAGAAGAGTTGTTTAATCTCTTTAGAGGCTATTGTTAGGCTGGGGGCAGGGCTGATGGGTGGGTCGTTAGAGTAGTGGGGGGTGGGGGAGGGAGAGGTGTCAGGGGCAGCATCAAAGCGACTGAAAAATAAGTTCAGTTCGTCAGCTAGCTTGTGGTCGTCAGCACAGGGGGGGGGCTTTGGGTTTGTAGTTGGTGATCTCCCGTAGGCCACACCAGACATAAGCAGTATCGTTGTTACCAAACTACCCGAAGTTTCTGCGGTGGACAGGCTGCTTTTGGTTTCAGCGCACATACCGTACAGGTAAGTAGTAAACATGGTGAACATTCATTGGTTGGATTTAAAATGTGTTGAAGGTGAAGAGACTAAAAACACAGGAGATCTGCTCTGGTACAGTATATATCTGGATCTATATGCTGGGGGCGCTTGCAACACTTTCCCTCACTTTAGAGTAAACTTGGGCAAGAGAAAGAAAAGCTGGAGTAGAAGCAGAAAAAGCAACGCCTCCTCTTTCTGCTTAATGTGTGTGAGAAAACCTTCCATGCTTTTGCCCTCACAATCCCTGTTTCATTTACAAGTATTCTGCCATCTAATACACACCAACGCTAAACTGTCCCGCTGTGGCAGGAATCAGGAACCCCCAAATCATGAATGAAATCAACCCACGTCCCTCACAGCTGAATACAATTAAAACATGAATAATTCCAAGCGTAAAACAGGCTAAATCTATTCTAGTACTTTTAATTTGGGTAATTTATTGTGTTGTCTGGCCTGAAGTGAATGTTATGTGCCAGACGGGTGTTCATTAACTCGCGCTCAGTCCAATTTTTCTATCTCACATTTTCCCATAAAGCGTAATGTTAATAGAAACGGCTCATCCTCAGCATAGTGGTTAGTGCTTGTCCCTCACAGCAAGAAGGTCCTGGGTTCGATTCAATGGGGGTGGGTTTCCCGGCTCCAAAGGGTCCACGAGCAGGTGGCGGAGGTGGAGATAGGTGGAGGTAAGGAGAATTACCCAATTCTTTTGTATGGCGTTTTCTTTCCTCTCGAAAACAGGATGGTTCAAAAGTCGGCTCTTGGCCCGAAGCTACTGTACGACCAAAAGGCTATGTTTTTTTTGGTCCAGTCTAGTTTAGCCGCTATGGACTTCTGAAGGCACTCGTTAAATGAATGGGGCTCTTGCCGGCTAACGCATGCGCAAATGCGTTTTTTCACATGTTACACTGTTTGAAAAAGCCAGTATGGCTAAAGTGGTGCTACATTAGTTTCAACGGCGGAAATGGGCATGACTACAGTGCGTCTATAATATTTACAGTCTATGGTTTGATTCCACCTCCAGGCCTTTCTGTGGAGAGTTTGCATGTTCTCCGTGTCTGCTCCTGTTTCCTCTACTACATAAAGTAAGTGCAACAGGTCTGGTGTGTGCCTCCTGTATGGCGACCCCACTCCCATCTCTATGGAGTGGGAGGACTAATGCCCACAACAATTGCCAATCCCTTAGTGGCTCTGTAAAGATTACCTACTTCTTACTTACTAACTTCAAATAAGCTATCATTACCACATATTTGGGTGGTTGACTTCCGCCTTTGTCAGAGGGGACATGTAATGGTGTGACACGTCTCTTATCAGCTGTTTATACAGAATGTGGCCCGTCTGACAGATCCGACAGATCCGTCAGACTGACTGAGCATTACTGACTTCTTCACACTCCTTGTCTAAATAGTAGAACCTTCTGGGCCTTAAACAAGAAGAAAGAACCATTAACATTTAGCTCCTGTCTCTATCCTAGAAATAGTATGATGTCATTGTACTACTATGACATCACACTGTTTCCTGCCTTTTAAAACAAAAGTATTGCCCATGAATTAGCTTTGGTAAGTACAACTATATATGTTCTACTTAAATTCTAAAACATGGAATTTTGCCTCTATATCCAGTAGTGCAAAGCATCACTGACCACTGTGCATGTCCCAGGGAAAATTTGCTTTTGCTGATTTTGGGGGCACTTTAAGCAGGCATCAATGAGAACAAGCTATTTACCTTAATGCATCTCCGTGAAGACCCAGTTATGCTCGTGTACAGTATGCCACTGTGAGCAGGACTGTCTCTCCACTGATATTATTCTCTTGTGATGTCACCTTCCATGTCCATGACGTTTTTTTGGCATCAACTGTGTCTAAATTATATCTCTCACCTTTTAGATGCCGAGTTTTTCCCATCACTGCTTTTTCCTTCAAATCCAATCATGGTTCAGGACACATGTACAATAGTCTCTCACCTCTCCATCTTCCATCCCGTCCGCCAGTGACCACACCAGGGTAGAGCTGAGAGGAAGTCAAATAGCTGGTCATCCAAACACCTCCCACAATCAGTGTTAAATGCCCCAAAGCCACGACACACACTGTCAAAATTGATAGATGGCTCTTGGCTAAAACTTTTGACGTGTTCAAAAATAAAAATCAGCGATGTGCAATGACATTCACATCCCCCTGACTCATTCTGCTCTCTGTGAATGACATTTTTTATTTCTCTCATCCTTATGCTTGTGTGATAAGTGGGGTTTCTGGATAATGTTGAAAAAGAATAAAGTAAAAAAAGGTAAAATAGATGGCCTATTAAATATTTGAATATAATAACACATTTCAATATTATTTCACTTCATACACTGTGGTGATGAAACTACTACTGGAGCTACTAGTGGGCACTACTGGGGCAGACCGACAGAAGTGAGGAAACTAGTATGTGCCATAGACCCCTTTGACCACCACTAACTATTCCAGGTAATGTGGGTTAGGTGTCTTGCCCAAGGACACAACAGTTTAGCACTTTACAGCCACAGCAGCCCCACTGTGGCACACACTACTAACCAGGTTATGGCTTTCACATGCAGATATGGCCACTAATATAGAGTAGGACCAATTTGTTCGACCAAGGAACAACAACAAAATGAGTAACAATTAAAATGACTATTAAAATGGTAAAAACGGAGTTGACCAGAACGATCTAATAGTTGCGCAGGGTGTAAGCTCCCAGTGCAGTGTGTGTGTCTTATTATGATGACAAAGGACACGAAAAAAAATAGAAAACAAAAGGGAGAATTCTTTACAGGAGCCAACGAGATAGTCTTCTCTGTACTTTGGGCAGTCGCCTGCTGCGCCTGTTCTCCACTGCCACCTTCCGCCTGATGGCAGCACACACACCAAATATGACCTGGCCTGGAGTAACAAGGTGGAGAGGTGTTGGATTCTTGTTGGGAGGCAGTAGCTCAGTGGGTAGAGTGTGCGTTTCCTCTGAGCTGAAGGATTGCAGTTTGAATCCTGATAACAGTAGTTATCTCAGAGGACTTAACAAAACCGTTGAAATCACCAACACAGATCAGTTAAACACAAACAAATATAGAACACTTCGGTATTGGTCCATGGGGAGAGTTGACCAATGTCCATGAATGCTGATGAATGTCCATATATGTCCTGTCCTGCTCCACCCAGCGGTTGCACCACCTCTGATGTTGTTGCAAAAGGCCCACAACGGGAGGCAAGAGAACAAGAAAAATAATCTTAATCCACCTCGTCCCCAGAGTCTGCATACACTGGTGTATGAAAGTATAAGAGGATGTGAGAAGGGGTGATTGGTTCCTGGATGTGAAGCGCTTTGAGTGTCTTAAAAAGGTAAAAAAGCGACAAATGTGATCATCTATCATTTAAATGCTCAGGACACCACTATACGGCACTTACTTAGACACAGGCTGGAGCTTCCCATTCCAGAGCAGCAACGCCACTGTCCAGGGCGAGTGTCCGTGGTTGTTGAGTCGTGAGGTGGGGGATTCTCCTGCGTCTCGTCCCTGTTCAATATTCCCATTCAGCTGTGTCAGTCCCCAGGTGTGCTGACTGCCCTATTTCTACTGGCTGGTGAGTGGGGAAATGTGGGTCAATGGGCTGATGGGGACTTGAAATAATAAATAAATGCAAACAAAATCAATCACAAACCAACATTTTCCCATCATCATCATATTTAAGCTATGTACAATTACTAACCTCAAACATGTTTTACATTTTTATGTTCGAATATCCACCCCACCAGTATAAGAAGGACAATAAGTAAGTAGTAAGTAAGTAATTATTTATATACCGCCTTTTCACTGCAGAGCTGAGTCTCAAAGCGGTTTACAATTGTTATTTTTTTGGGCACTTGTCCACACAGAGATGGGAGCGGGGTCGCCAGTACAGGAGGCGCATGCCAGAACTATTTTACATATTTTTAGCGGTAGGGGAAACCGGAGTACCCGGAGGAAACCTACGCAGACACGGGGAGAACATGCAAACTCCACTCAGAAAGGCCCTGGTCCGACCGGGATTCGAACCCAGGACCTTCTTGCTGAGAGGCGAGAGTGCTATCCACTCAGCCACCGTGCCGCCCATAAGATCAGGCCATTTGGGAAATTGTTAATTATCAAGCTCAAGACATTTTTTCAACTTTTTAACTTGGCCTTCAAACACATGCCCATTGATTCTCTCAAGCTTTAGTCAGAGAGCTATATTTCTCTTTAATTCTTGAGAGGCAGCAAAATGCCTCGGTTCAATACGTGACCCATGGCACCAAATCATGACATGCGAAGCCCGCCTTCAGGAGGTTATTGACAGGGGGAGAAGCTGAAACAGTGAGTCAGCGCATACAGGCTCTCTCCGAGTCCCGCGTCTGGTCCATAGACTGTAAATATTTGTATGGTCCCGTGTCTACCACGTGCTTTTTGTGTTAGCATTATGTCAAATCCACGACGAATGTTATATTTTTCTGCGAGCGACAATACTGTTCCAGAACTATGATTACCATGAAACCGGACTTACTTGTGGGGAGGCGGGCTCACAGGCAAAAGCGCACAAATCCAGTCGTTTTCAATTGTTGACAGCACCTCTATGTAAGAAATGGCTATAATTTCACACTAGTTTTGAGTGCTGTATGGTGTATCACCCTAATCATTATCACACATGTGGAGTTTGCATGTTCTGCCTGTGTCTGCTACGGTTTCCCCTCCCCTAGTTCATTGTGAATGAGTTTGTCCAATCCAGCGCACTGACGGTACTGCTGGTCATTAAAACACACAATCCCGTCTGAAGAAAACAAATACATGAATTAATGACACCCTTTCTACCTCAAAATGATACAAAAGCACAAAGTTACAAAGAGTGCCACATCACAAACAAAAGTAAATCGTCCTTTTCTCCAACATAGATCGGCGCAGACCCAAGGCGACCAATTAGAAGAGGGACGGGGAAGGTAACGGACTCAAATGTGCAGTCTCTAATTGGTGAGAAGTGGAGGAATGGCCGGGCGCTGCAGTGTGCTTTGTGAAACTGTAAGTATAAGTCATTAGGTAGTGAGGAGAGGCCTTCGTTATGGGGGGCTAATTAAAAAGGCTCCTATATGTCCCTGTGATGGATTCAAACACACGTGGACTATCACAAAATGCAAATCAAAGATGGGATAGAAATGTCATGGAACTGTATGTACAGTTTGTATGTTGTGCAGTGAAGGTATGAAGACAATGTTTTAGCTATTTAACCGAAAGCATCATAATCCTTTTGAATACTTTTTTCATCTCAGTTTGTTTCATTTATTATTAGACAGACTGTTTTAAGCAACACTTACACAAATTCTGATTATTTTTTCCCCCCATGTACAGTACAGTATTTGCTGCTCGGTTTTAGCCTTAAAATCACATTTCATGTTCAAAAGTCTGTTCAAACAGAAGTTAACAATTAATTGCTTCCTAGTTAATTTGGAAAACTTCATTAATCAACTAATCAATTTTAAAGTTTCATGTTTATTTATTTAACAGTAGCTCAGTTGGTAGAGCATTGGCCTTCGAGCCAGAAGGTCGTGGGTTCGAGCCCGACTTTCACCATCGACTCCCTCTGTCTGCTGTTTTTGTGTCCTTGGCAAGACACTTAACCTCTGGGAACACCTGATGCCACAGTGGGGCGGCTGCGGCTGTAAAGTGCCAAACTGCTCTTGTGTCCTTAGGCAAGATACTTCACCCCCATTGCCTAAAATGAGTCTGGTGAATGGTTGGTGGCCGATGACACAGACTGGTTGCCTCGCTTCTGTCAATGTGCCCCAGGGCAGCTGTGGCTACAGTAGTAGTTCATCACCACTGTGTATGCGTGAAACAATAATGACATGTAAAGGGTCTTTGAGTGTCCAAAAAAGCGCTATATAAAACCGATGCATTATTATTATTATTATTTGTTTGGACGAGAATCCCCAAGAGATGAAACATTTAGTCATTGAGTGTGAAAATATGGTAGTTCTGCCATCTTTCACAAACTAACGAATGCGTTGCAATTATAATTATTTATGGATTTTAATGCTTTATTTAATTCAATTTCAATTTATTTTTGTATTGCCCTAAATCACAACAGCTGTCGTCTTGGAGGACTTTATAAAGTTGCCGATTTGTAATCAACAGATCAGAGAATCAAACTAAATATCCTTAAATGTCCTGTATCATCATCGGTCTTATTTTCCGTTCCTCGCCGACGCAGGAGAACGACAGTGGGAAAATATTGAGAAACCTTGTACAGGCCCATATTGAGAGAGGGATCCGCTCCATCAGACGGACATATGATTTTGTAAAAGACATTTTCAAAAACAAACTGTATCAAGTCAATCCTGCATGAATATTACTAATTAACTCTTTATATGACATTGAATGAGCATGGTGTAAAGTTCAACAATCAGTTAGTCAAAACGTTGTACATCTCATCCGAGCTGTCGTGTATTTGTTGCTCAACAGAAAAAAAAACAGACACATGCATGATTCCTCCGTCAACTAATAATACTCTACAAATACTTGGAGATAAAACAATGAATTCGGGACCAGAACCACCAACGCTTCTGACCGGCACCTGGTGAGACCTTTTTCTCTCCAGTTTGAAGATGTGGGAGAGATGAAAGATGTTGCAACACTTTTCATTTGAGCATTTTTAGCTTACTCAGTTTTTGGGCAACAGCTTTCCAACTTGCAGAGAAATGAAACATTTTTCAGATAAAAATGATGCATATTTATATTTCCGAGCATTACAGAAGCCATAAACTGACGTTCAATTGAGTTCAAGGTTTCCCTCTGTCACAGCCTCCCCCATCAGCAAACACATAGTGGGGAGTGTTGGATAAAGAAACAGAAGCCTCAGGCTGTACAAGAGAAAATGATGTATAACTGCTCTTAGAATAAAAATATTAGCTTATGTGAATGACTATGTGACTATACTGAGGACAAAAGTATTCTAACTACTGTATTGTATTACTGTTTGCTGTGACACAGTAATGTAAGACTTTACAAACATAAAGCTGCGTCATTTTTACTCTGTACAAAGGTTAGTAACCTGTGCTACAATGCATTTGAACCCAAAAGACTTTTGTTTTTATACTATGCCATCAGCAGAGGATCAGCAGAGGAAGTGCAAAATAGTAGCCTGGGCAGGGGTCACCAACCTGGTGCCTGCAAGTGCACAGTTGCCCACAAGGACCACAAAAAGCGCTCGGCCTCGTCGCTCACCGGTTGCAGAGACATGCGGACTACATGACAGATGAGAGTCTAAGCCTTGTTTTGATCTTCAATGCGTCCAAAAAGAGTCCGGTTTGTGAGTGACAAAGACACTTGTCAATGGGCGCACGGAAAATATGTGCGCGAGACAAATATGTGGAACATAACAGTTAAGTGCACTTTATGTGCCAAACCAAAAGTAACTTAAAAGCAATACAGAAGTAGTGTTATGCATTACAATTCAGAGACAGTATTTATAATATTGTAGTGTAATATATTACTCTGAAATAACAAGTCATGCAAAATGTATTAAGTTTTTGAAGTAGCTTGCCCAACACTGGTAGATCTATTGCGAGGCTGAAGCGGCGGTGTGTTGCGACTGTCCCTGTCTATTTATGGGTTTTAGTTTGAAAATTCTTTGCTAAATACTTAAATATGTGAGAGGGATCACACCGGCATCATGGAGGGGCCATCCCAGTCTATTATTAGCTTTAATGAAGGGCCAAATAAGAGTCATCGCTGTATGACAGTGGGTCAATTTATAGTTAGAGCATGTATTGTTGTTGTATTCAAATACAACAAAACCATGTGAACAATATAAAATTGGTGAAATAGCATACTATTTATTTATTTATTTTATTTATTTATTTATTTGGGTGTTAAAAGAAGGTACAATGCATATTAATGAACATTTAACAAATTTATGCTAGATTATAGCCTGATGTTACAGAAGAACATAAAAACAAACAAGACATAACAATACAAATCATGCAAAGAATACAATGTACGCAAGATTATATACCGGACATGTACAAGGACAGCTGAGCACGTACAAACATGTGAGACAGTAAAAAACAACTGACAGAAGGACTTGAGACATTGTATTGCACAACATCCTAATGCACTGTTCCCTACTGCACTGTTCCCTACTGCACTGTTCCCTATTGCACTGTTCTCTATTGCACTGTTCTCTATTGCACTGTTCTCTATTGCACTGTTCCCTACTGCACTGTTCCCTATTGCACTGTTCTCTATTGCACTGTTCCCTACTGCACTGTTCCCTACTGCACTGTTCCCTATTGCACTGTTCCCTACTGCATTGTTCCCTACTGCACTGTTCCCTATTGCACTGTTCCCTACTGCACTGTTCCCTATTGCACTGTTCCCTACTGCACTGTTCCCTATTGCACTGTTCCCTATTGCACTGTTCTCTATTGCACTGTTCCCTACTGCACTGTTCCCTATTGCACTGTTCCCTATTGCACTGTTCCCTACTGCACTGTTCCCTATTGCACTGTTCCCTACTGCACTGTTC